ACTACGAAATAGAATAGAGCAAGGCTTCCGACAAATTCGAGAAACACCAGGAACGATAGAGAGAGTAACCAGATGAATGACTAGACGCGTGCAGGCTTGTCTTCAAATGCAAGCTGGTCATTTCGAGCATCTGTTGCAAAAGTAATTAAAACAGAAAATTCATTATATCTTATAAACGAAGACAGATATATTTATATGACTTTTTTTCATTATTTTTAAACGTACAATCAGTTCCCGAAGTGGGGCCCACAAGTTACTAAACACCCTGTATATCAGGGTCACTTTTGATAGTTAATCAAAAATAATTTTTCTCCCGCGATGTGTTTCGAACGCGTCCCTCCGGGGGAATTTTAGGTTAGGTTTTACTCAGTTAGCCGGCTTTAGCCGGGCGATCGAGAATTTCGTATTTATTTGCGAATAAAGTTGAAACAATGCGCGAAACAACGAACTATGATTGCAATTTGAAACTTTCGGGCGAATTAGCGGCGTAACGGAGTTTACCCGGTTTACCCGGATAGTTTTGAAAACTGACAGGTGAAGCGCATAACTTCGCCCGGCGTGGCGATATTTCCTCACGGCATAAAATTATGAATGGGTAATTAGTTTGTCGATTTCGCAAAAATTGTTACACGGTTGTTGGGCCAAACAATCCGAGTGAATTAAAATACGTTTATGTATCCGCGGTCGACCTCGGTGAATTTGAATTTTAAATTCACTGCCCCGCGTAAACAATCGCCAGCAACTTAAATCACGTGCTATGCGAATGTTTTTTACATTAACCGCCGTAAATCTTCAGTTCTAATCGAAACGAATTATCGACTTGGAAAGAAAAGGAGAACATCTAACGAAGACGTAAATTTCTCTTGACCGAGTTCAAAGTTCAAAGCCCAAGGTTAGCCTGAAGGTCTTGGCGAAACGCTGTGAATTTAAAAATAGTACAATTTAAAAAATAAAAACACAAAGTGACCGTAACTCTTTGTCAAAGAAAGGAATTTTCGTAGAATCTTTTACATTACAAATTATAGCCCATTTAATTTCGCTTCGAGATTGTCTTCGAAAGTGTCTGTGAAAAATCATGGCGACAGTCACGCAAATAAACGCATTATGCACAATCTCGTGTATAATGTAAATAAAGCTCGTATTAACTCCGGGCACGAAATCTTCGACGAAATTTTCGAGATTGTCGTTCAGAACATCGTGCTGCACCTTAAGACCAAAATCTCTAAAGAACGCTCGAGGAGAAGTTCATTTTACGCCGCTTCGTAAAAGAGAGGTTAATCGAGTATTAAATATCAACAGGCGTGCAAGTAGCGTAATATTCCATAAAGTAAATGGGTGATTACGGGGGGCGAACGTCGTCTTTTATTTGTGTGTCGCGTTTTATTAAAATATCGCGCGTACAAAAACGGAGTACATTTCTTCATAACGTTAATGTTGTTTGGCGTGGGAGGAAAGCAGCGCGAGGTACACGAAACAGCTTTCTCGTCTCGAATAGAAGCAGAGGATGCGGCGGGCGCAGTTGTTGTAGGTGAATTGTGTTGCCGCTTCTTTTCAAAGGGCGGGGAAACGAATATACATGGTTGCCGAAGACGTTGTCTTCCGGCGGGTCTCTCTCGCCGTACGATCTGTTTCCTTTCAATTCCCAGTTTATCTCCTTACAGATGGAATTGACAAATGTGAAAGGAAAGGATAACAGAACACACGAAACTTCCGAGGTCTTCCATTCGCTTCGTGGAAGAAGGATAAACGCCTATCTTCGATCTTCCCTCACAAAACCCGACCTTTTTGTTTGGCAAACTCGATGAACGATGTATAAAGGCTCGTCCGTGAGAGAGAAACGTTTGGAAAAATTCCTCCGAAATTACTTTTTCGTAATTAAATCGTTCGATTACTTGTAGATCTTTTCTTTTTTTTTTCTTCACTATAAACAGAGCGGATACAAATTTGTATCGTTTTACATAGCTCTCGTGCGATATTGTCTTTTGTGAAGACAAACGATCCATCGACAGAATCTGTTTTTATGAGTATTTCCGATAATGGAAATTACACGATAATATAGTAACAGGACGAATAAGAAAATAAAATGTAACGCACAAATGATAAAACAATATATATATATACAAGTAATGATACGAATGATAAAGATTCAAGGCATATTGACACAAGAGGGATCTTTTTTGCAATTCTATATTCGGTTTAATAATCGATGATGTTCCATATGTACTCATATTTTATAATTTATAATTTCGCAATTTTTCCAATATAATTTTATAATTTGCAATTTTTCTGTTAACATACCGCCATTAAATGCGGATTAAAACACTTTTACAGGATTACAAATGCGTCGTACTTTATCATTCACTCGAATTTTTCTATTATTGTTATCACGGCTCATAATTGGAAATTGTTATTGTAGATTTGATTACTTTTTTACAGTAAGTTTCACTTGAAACATTTTTTTCTAAAACGAATGATTT